CCATGTGCATCCTATGCCCCAAGTATTATAACACACCACGCGGTTCACGTTGTAATAATATCTAAATATGTTTTTTGTTGAGAGAAACAAAAGGACGGAAAAATTATTTTAAAAAATATAGTTCAATTGGCAAACACTTAATTGGAATTTTAAAATGTGGATGGATTTATAATATTGTCTTTATTTAAAAAGAAAATATAAAATCACTCTCACTAACTAGTTAGCCGCTAGCGATCAATGTCAAAAGTCTGGTAAGTTATTGGGTCAAAAGTTTGGCTGTCCTGTCAGCAACTTTTTTTTTATTTTTATAATATTTATAAAATAATTGAAAACTTTTATAATAATATTCACAATTTAATTGACGTACTGTCTGTCAGGTTTTCAAACTAGGACATTTTTAAGATTTGTAACATGATTGATAACTCTTATAACAATATTCACAACTCTACTAATGTTATTAATTTATTATTCAAATGTTTTTTAAATTTTTAAATTGATTTTTTTTAACATTAGTAATGTAATTGACAACTCTTATAATAATATTTATAATTTTTTTAATAGGATTAACTCTATTAAGGCCATTGTAAATAAAATGTCACTGTTCATCATTTTCATCCCTCGTACCACATTCTTGAACCGTATTTGCATTTTCATGCCAGAGAGGTAGAAAGTTTGCGGGACCTTTGGCACAGATGGTGGGACCAGAATTGTTTCCCCCCCCTTTTTTTTTTTGTTATTTCTAACCATAAATATCATGCACCGGGGGAAGCAAACTTTTTTCTTTTTTTAAATTTTATTAAGAATTTCCTTTTGAGACTTGGAGAGCAAATAATTTCCACCCCTTTTGATAAGTGCGTTTTCTAATATTTAAATTTATGTTTCTCTTCTCATGAAAGTACGGCCACTTACCATTTTAATTTATAACTTGTTAGTGAAGGAAGCAAACTTTTGTATTCCATATTTTCTAATTATAACACCTAATTTATTTGAACATAGATAAAAGATAGTTAAACATTGTTGACATCGGTTTTTTGGGAAAAAAATGTTGCTCTCAATTAAATGCCTTAATTTCCTAAGAAAAAGGCAATAAATTATCCTGAAAATTGTTAAATGATAAATTAGTAAGAGATGAATTTCAAAATATTAATTCACGCCTTTTATACTATTTTAGAATTTTTAAATCTTGTCAAATTATATAGATGCCTTTCATTTTTTTTTAAATATTACTCCCTCCGTTCCTTATTATAAGAGACATTTGATGCTTATGGCATGTTCCAATATATAAGAGACACTTACAAGTTGTCTCTACTTTTTGTGTTGATTTACTATTTTACCCATATTTATTATCTCCAACTCACACTCTCTCTCCCTCCCACTTCTCTTTCTTTTAATAATTTAATTGTTCTCTCTCATACTCTCTCTCCTTATTAATGAGGGCATTTTTGGAAAAAAAATTATACTTTTTACACATTAATTGTTCTTAACTAATTTTAACTGTTTTTTTGATCAACGTACTTCGGTTATTTGTATCTTATAATAAGGAACGGAGGGAGTACCACTTTAGTACCCTTAACCAGTTTTCTAGCCGCCCTTGTTGGTGGTCAACCGCCGGAACTCCGACAACATGTCATCAAAACTTCGTTGACTCTTCTTTCTTATGTATTAGTTACTCTAATATTATGACATACTACTTTCATTTTAAAAATTTGGTGACTACTCCTGTTTAGTTATATACTACTCTAGTTTCATTATTAATTACTTTTATTTCAAAAATTCAAAAAATACATTAAGTGTTATTAGATATTCAATAACTACCTTTTATTTAGTTATTTACTACTCTTATGTAGTCAATAATTATACAAAAGTAGTCATTGAAACTTTGAAAATAAAAGTAATCAATAGTTAAACTAAAATAGTCAATAGCTATATGAAAGTAGTCATTGGGAGTAAGCGTAGTATTGTCATTTTATAATATTTTAAAATTTAAAAAATAATATAAGAATTTTGATTTGAAATATTGAAACTCACCTACCTTAGTTTGTTTGTTAACATTTTGAGGGTATTTTAGTGTTTTTTTTTTCAACTTTTTTCCAATCATTAAATGCCATCATTAACTCAACTGCAATCAAATGCATCTTTACTATGCAAGAGCAAGACGTAATTGACTAATTGTATTTTAATTATTCCTAGAATATTACTCCTTCTTGTCTATAATATAAGACATTAACTAGAAAAAATTTATGACAAAAAATATAAGACATTATCAAGATAATTAATGTAATTTTTCACCCTCACCCCTATTAAATATAGGACAGAAAGAAGAGAGATGAAAACTAATAAAAAATATAACATCAAAGACAACTTTATTATTTTTTAGAAGTAAGATAGGAAAATTCTAGGAAAAATGGTAAAAGAAGACTGCGGAATAGAAAAATTGCACATACGGACTGATTTATAAAAATTATTGTCAAAACCCAAATTATTCTTGTTAAACTCCATACTAATATTGTCATGGGTCTTTATTCGTAATTTTTCTATTACAATGATCTTTTTTGTTATTTTCCCAAAATTCTATCAATTTAGGATAAATTTAATGTCTAAACTTATATTTTTAATATGTAAGAAAAGTTAATCAACTTCTTATATTATGAATCGGAAAGAGTATAAAGTGACTTAGAATTAGATGCCCCACAACCCTAAGTTGAAGAGCTTTGAACCATTTTTAAATTTTTTTTTTTGATGTGGAATATCCAATTATTTTCTGGACATACCTCGCTTCAACTGGAAGAATTATGAGAGGCTCAGACAAATTTAGATAATTATGAAGGATAAAATTTTACTACCAACCTATCTCACCTCACCGAAAAGATTATCCTGGACCTATCGCATTCTAACTGGTGGTTGAACTTTCTACCTTCTATGGTCTTGCACAACTCAGGCGTGTCTGGGTATTATGAAAAATACTTTTTAAATTTTTTTTTTCACAAATTGTGATAAATTACTGTACATATTTATTTTATATACTGTAAAAGCACTTTTAAAACTATGGTTTTAATTTATCCAAACATCCTCTCAATCTATATCAGCCTGCCCCAATAAATTCTGCAATTAAAGTGAGTAGGCCTAACAAATTAAATGCTCCAATAAAAAAAATTAGAAAACAATTTAAAACTCCTCACTACTAAACAAAAAAAAAAACGAAGTTGTCTTTTGTAGCGGTTCATTGAACCGCTACTAACGTGAGCATTTTGTAAAAATTATGCATCCAACTGACATGAACATGCAATGCTTTGACTGATAGTGACACGCATAATGACATTAGTAGCAATTGTTATTGTATTAGCAGCGGTTTTATATGTAACATCTGCAAAATTATAATGTGAACGGTTGGGGCGGGAGAAATGGTTACGAACATTAGCAGTGGTTCAGTGCTAAAAAACCACTTCTAACGAAAAAAACGATGTGACCATTGTAAAATCACATGTTTGTAGCAATTCTAAATGAATTGTTGCAAATTCATTTGCTTTTGTAGCGATTTTCACGAACCACTGCAAACTTGACTCATTGTGGCATACTAACAGCAATTTGTAGTGGTTCTACCAAATAACTGCTACAAATAACTGTCAAAAACTGTTACAAAATACTTTATTACGCCTATTTTAGTAATGATTTAAATAATAGCTATAAACGCATTTGTACATTAAAAAACCACCACAAGCGCATCAAAATAACTGTTACATATGTCTGTTTTTTTTTTGGTAATGCAATAATTTTAGAAAAAATTCTAGATAAAGTTCTTCAAATATACATAATTTTAGATTGGGTTCTGGAATTGTGTAAATAACAGAAAGGACCAATGACCTAATCTGTCATTTGTAAAATCAAGAGGAATCGACAATTTTGTTCTCATTTGTATTTATTTATTACAATAATTTAAGAAATCATTATAAGGATTTAGATATTACCTAAATTCATGTAGAGAATAACTACTTATTTTTTCAGAGTCAGGAATGCCCCATGAGAAGGTATCTTGTTATTAACTACAACTAATCATGTAATCACTAGAACAGTGTAAGCGTTACTTAGATTCGTTTAGAGAATAACTACTCACTTTGCCTTCATTTGTATTCATTCACTATAATAATTCAAGAAATCACTATAAGGGTTTAGGCATTACCTAAATTCGTGTAGAGAATAACTACTCATTTTTTCGTAGTCAGGAATGCTCTATGAGAATATGCCTTGTTATTAACTACAACTAATCATATAATCACTAGAACAATATAAGCGTTATCTAGATTCGTTTAGAGAATAACTACTCATTTTTACTTAATCAGGACAAAATTGTTAATTTTTCTTAATTTTAAAAATGACAGATTGGGTCATTGACTCTTTTTGTCATTTACACAATTCCAGAACCTAATCTGAAATTGTGTATATTCGAAGGGCTTTATCTAGGATTTTCCCATAATTTTATGCTAGGAATTAAATTAATTTTCAATTTTTAATAACATGATGATGCTGCACGCATTGGGAGCTATTGAATTAATTTGAATGCACAATATTGGGACTCGCTGAGGGAACTGAAAATCCAATGACATCCAATTAGCTGGAAGACAGGATTAAGGAAGAGAACCCCTCATTTGGCATCCATCAGGCATCATCAACAACAACGTCCACGATGAGGAGGAGAAATCACTCCGAACAACCGTCAGTTCAACCTTACGCAACACATGACAAGTTTGTTCCGTATCATGTGGCCTACCTACTTCCATTGCATGTTTATTTAATGAGTTAGATTCTCTCTTCAAAGCATAGCAGCAAACTTTTGAAGAGTGATTTGTTCTATTTCTCTAGTTCTTGCATTGAATTCGACTCCTACTTCTTCTCTTCATAATCTTGTATGGACATGTTAATGGTTCAATTTTTTATAAACTTCATTTTTCAAACATGTTTCAGTACTTTCACATCTTTCCTATCCCTTTCAATGCTTCTTCAAATAACTGGAATACCGTTTTATTTGCTTTTCTGTGTACCAGCCATAAATTTGAACCCAAATATTCCATCTTATTTGAGGTTTATTTCCTTTGCTTTCCATATTCCAATAGGGCAATGAAACCTTAGTGTTAGCAAAATGCTACTTACAACTATAAACATCTCAGCTGAAACATCACATGCACAGCAATCCAAACTCGATGGCACTTTAAAAGCAGGCTACAAACGTTGCAGGGGCCAAGGGCGTCTCCATCTCAGGGCTTCTACTGGAAACCTGAAATCCATAAACTGCAAGATTGATTCTCGAATGAATCTTCTTCCCCATGAAGATGAAGTTCCAGGGCCCTATAGTCCATCATAAAAACCACAGAGGAACAGAAAATATGACATGGCTGCATCTTGCAGGACACATTTTGACAGGCTTCGATCGATATCCCTCTCTTCCCAGGCAAGCCATGGAAAACCAGAGTACCCATTTTGTTCACTGAAAACCGATAGCAAATTATTTCACTGGAAAACCACCCTCCATGCCATGCCCTATTCTGTTGAAAGAAAGCTGTAGAATTAGGAGTTTAAACATTCATACTGACAACTCAAATGATCTCATCATCTCAATGGATTAAGTGCATGTTAGGCTTACATGCAAGATAAACATTTCCATGGGTAATACTCAATGAAAGAATCTCTTGCGACATCTAGCAGATCCAAGCTCCTCATACTCAGACTTGGTCACGCACATAGCTTCAAAATCTGGACTTGATGCCAACAATGATCCTCCACGCCAAACACCTAATATGGGACTGTAGAAGAAAAACAAGTTGACATGAAAATTAACAAAGACAAAACAGAACATTTCAAGAAAGATACTTACTCTTGTTGTTGAGTTATCTTCACATGGTAGTCATCAGGAACTAGAGGCCGCAGCTCCATCTCTCTGCAATTCAATTAGTATCAGTTATCTAAGTTTGAATGCCACGTTATTTATAAAAGAAGGCTATGGAGCCTAAGGAGGACAAAAATCGGAAGTACTGAATGCAAGGACTCAGGAAAAGAACCTACAATCTCTCAGCAAATTGAGGAAATAAGGTGCTTCCGCCAGTTAAAATGATGCTGACAAGAAATACAACTGGTGTTAAGAAAGAAATAAACTAACTACCCAGGAGGTATGAATGAAGCTGCAGTAACCTGCAAATAGTTCCATCAAATTCGAATACTCTGAAAGAATTACCTCTCATAGAGTACAGGGTGGAGTTGTGGATGGCAGCAGTTAATAGCTCGTACAATGCACTCTGCTATTCCAGCCTCATTCATTCCTGCAAAGCGGAGGAAACACAAGTAATAGGCAAAGGAAACTAGACTAAGATACTATCTATCCTTAAGTAGCACTAATTGCCAATAACGCCTCAATGTTCAATGGTTTCTTCATTCTTGTGTTGAAAGTATAATGCCATATAAACACAAGTTTAGCAAAAACAAAACATTTTCCTCATTAGATACTTTTAAGCAAGAGGGCAAGCAGGTTGAACAGTGTTTGAAAATAAAAAGAATTGAAAATAAAACTAAACGATACTAATCTAAGTCATTTACAGCCCTTTGATAAGGTCATAATTAATAAATTTCTTCAAGAGACTAAACTGACAGCAGATCACATTTCATTAGTGAGTAGTACTGGAACTATACAGACCTAAATCAGCAGGATGGAAGATCATTTCTGGGACAAGAAAGCGTTCATTTGTCAAGTCAAACTCCTGAAGTAGACAAATTGAATACAAGAAATTAAATTCAGTTGAGATAAATGAACATTAAACGTCAAGTAAAATGATGAGACCCACATTTTTGGTCAAATCAACTCTCCTTCTTTCCTCAGGCTTTTCAGTCATTTCTGGATGATTCATATCCTCCTTTTTTTCTTTTGGAGGCAAAGGAGAATCATCAGCCAGAGTAAGATATCTGTGTACTTGATCTGGATATTTAACAAAGCCTTTTGTGTGTGTAACACCATCCGGAAGCACATATGTGCATCTAAAGAGATTTTCTCTTCCAGGTTTCCTACAGGCACAAAAGGGCAAATGAGAATCATTTCTATGACATGATTGTATTACGTAACATGCAAAGTAGACACAATTTACATAGCATAAAAAAATCACATAATACAAACATATTGACAATGGTTTGGAATTATAAAACTGATAACAATGCAACAAGCCACAAGCACTAGAAGAGATCCAAGGAGTGTATGGACATCCAATGAGAAGTACACAGATTATCCACTGGATTAAAGCAGCAAGATTTTAAAGCAATACTAAGTTGAACCATTTTCAAGTGTGAGGTAAAAATAATGTTCAGCAACAGGAAAAAAACAAAGTGGATAACCTTTAATTACCTTGCAATCTGGAGATCCCGGGGAACATCAAGGGAAACAAAGCAGAGCTTCTCCTTAACATCATCCATAATAAAAGTTTCCTCCATGACATTAACAGCCCTAAAAGAAACCAACTCCTTCAGATAATTGGTCAATGCTTTGCCACCCAAATCGATTCTCTTCACAGCATAATTCAACGTGAAGTTCTGAAACACCGGTGAGGCGTGTGTGAACGAAAACCCGCAATCCACAACAAGGCTGCACTGCGCTCTAGAGACAAGACCTTCAGGCCTACGACTTGCCTCATAGAGATGAACCAAAGAGGGTGAGTCAGCCACATAAAGAGACTTAAAGTTGAAATCCTCAAAGACAAGCTCATCCATTGATCGCTGAATGGAAGGAAGGGCGAAGAGGGGCTCAGTGAGGAGGAGTGAAGAGTTTGATGGGTTTATGTGGAGGATGGAAGAGAAGAGGTGAGCCCATATCTCTCGTTGAAGTTCAGGATTTATCATATACCCTCTGTCCATGGGCCGTCGAACTGCAGCCGAGGTGAGGTCCACTTCACTGACTGAGGATGGTTCCATAGAGGAGGTGGTGGTGGTGGTGGGGTTGAGGGGGTTTGGTTGGAGCCATTTCTTGGAGGACGGAGGTCGGTAAAGGCAGTTGGGAACAACAACAGAGGGGTCACACTCTCCACCGAGGCCAGCTTTGATTAGGCCTCCACCGTTGTCCAGAACCACCACATTGTGGGGGGACATGTTAGTGACAACTCTCAGCAATGAACGGGCGTGAAAACTATTCCAATCCCCCTCGCTCTTGCGTATGCATTAACAGTACAATTCGATTCCCATTTGGCGTGACACAAGTGAGCTTATACCAAGCTTATTGATTTCAAATTGAAGTACTATGTTACCTGCGGGTCGCATGCAAGGTTATCAAACTTACAAATTTAAGAGACGACAAGTAAACGCATGATAATGCATATCAGCGAAGTATTTAGCATAAGCTACCAGTCAAGAGGACCTAATAGTTCTAAATCCACCATTTTTCTTACCGGTCCAAACTCTAAACTACAGACAAAGCCAGACACGTTATAGATTAAAGTGCTATTTTTCAAATGTATACTACTCGGCTAATACAAAGAACTACCTCTACCCTATTTCAAGCCTTCGGCTTACCTAAAAGGGAGCCTGGAGCTGAAGCTTCAAGAGCACCGCCGGCCAACGTCAAAAACCTGCGGAACCCCTCACCTACAGCAGTGAAAAGCCGGTTTCTAGCTTCTGTAACTGCATCAGCAGCCTTCGAGTTAGAGTTCGAACGATCTCAGCCGTGTCCGCGGTTGCGAAGCGAAAGAGGCGAGCTCCGGGTTTGGTTTGAGGTTCAACAGGGAATCTGCTTTTTTTTTTTTTTTGGCACGGAAGATCTAAAATCAAAAGTAAAACAAAAATAATCTTACAGAATAAAAAAAATTGTAACAGGATTTTGTCCTTTTGAAACATCCGCTAATTTTTTTAGTAATAAAATATAAAGATTTCTTGTCAATTTTAAAATTGATATTTTAATTCGATTTTATCAATATTTCATCAAATTTTTTTTTAGCAAAAGCAATGCATTCATAAAAGAATACAAAGGAACAACCTGAGAAAGAGAGCAGGCAGAAAGTTGTCCTACACCTACATGGCTACTAACACTGTCACCAGCCATACAACGGACATAGATGAGTTCTGGCATTCTAGAAGGACTGACAAGGAGATTTAGAGTTTCTTTTCTTTCTTTCAGTTTTTTCTTCAAATATTCATTGTGTTTAATTTTTTTAAACATAAAATGAGGTCATTTCCTGAGGGTAGGAGATTGAAATCATTAAACTGGACAACCTATATTAATCAACGGGTTACATAGTTTTTATTGGTTCTTAATGGTTGAACTGGTTTTTTTTACCAGTTTGAGCATTGTCCGGTTTTTTCCCTCAACCAAACAGGATCGGAGACCGATTCACCGGTTTTCTGGTTGAACCTACCAGTCCAGTCCAGTTTTCTCTTCATTAGGTAAAATCATATGCACTCAAAAACTTCGTCATACTCGTCCTTAAGAGAATAATAAAACAAAATTAGTCATTTAATGACTTTGATTGTGACACTATTAATAACTTTCATTTCATGCCTCCTTCGGAGTCTTCTTGTCAAGAGTTTAACTTCCTTACATTTTTTATTTAGATGAAACTGGAACTATTAAATTTCATTATTTTTAATTTTACACTAAAACTGCCATTTTAAAAATAAATGTCAGCAAGACCACTATATTTAAATGATCAAAATAAAAGGGGGGAAAATCCAGAATTCATTAAACTTCGCAAAAGAACAATCTACATATACACACACACAGGCATATGTGTGTAGGTATATATACTAGGAGTGAACGAATTGAATCCAATTCCGTATTTGGGCGACTTATCAGGAGTGAACAAACCAAAATGCTTCTCACTTTCTGCACCTTGCTTTTGGTTTTCATCAAACATGGCAAACAAGTACGTCTTAATGGGCCCATTACGTTTTCGAGTCCCACCGCTGACGTGATTAATCAAATTCTGATAGTACGTACGTGCATTATCAACACTAGGCCCTTTATCTCCTCCAGCCGAAGGCCACCCATTTCAGACACAACAACCTGCAAATTTTGTGCTCCTATCTTCTCAAGAGCAAAATAGAGAGAATCCAACATTGCATCAAACAGGTTTTGATAACCTTGGTCATTTGTTCCTCGTTGTCTGAACAAGGCATAGTCAAGAGGAATGTTGCTATTTGCGTCACTGTAGGCAAAATAGGGATACACATTAGCGAGAAGTGGTGATCCATTGTTGACAAGGAAAGCGATGATGGGCTTTAGTATGGAGTCGCAGAATCCTTAAACTTGCCATTATTGGGTGGGGAAGTGTTCTCAAGTAGATCCATTTTTATTGCTGTAGAGACCTTAACTTTGCCTTGCAAATCTGCTGCAGAAATTGCGTTCTGAATGTTTTGGATTCCAGGTAGAATATACTGTGCTTCTACGTCACTAGGACCAATCTCATTTCCTACAGCAATGTACGTGATGTTCACATCTGAGTAGGATACTACAAATTTTCTAACCCAATCATTGGCTGATGCAGGATCAGATAGTGAGGAAAGCGTTTCCTTAGCCACATCAAGCAACACTTCAATGTTTGAACCTCTTAGGGCTTGAAGGGCTTGTTCATCTGGAAAGTATATGCGCATCCCTCCAATGCCATAGGATTTGTATAAAGTCTATCACTTCTTGCCGGCTTGGTAGATGATCTCCATTTACGCCATAACACACTCCAATGGATTTCACAGCTGCATATAATATATAGAACATATTAGCTGGTAATTCTCAAATTGTGAAGGGTCATAAGAGTTGAAATTTTTTTTTTTTTAATATAGATTTTCTATTCAAATTTTCATTCTCAACATATGTGATGTATCGAATATGAGGGGGGGGGGGAATCAATGAGAACGTCAATATCCCATCTGTTATATATACTTTTAATGACTGCCTCAACCGCTTTTGAACGTTTGTATGTCTGTAAGAGAAATATTTAGCCAGGTCTAATAATGGACCTTTCTATAAGTTAGGACAGAATGATGATTAATTATAGTGCCGTGACAGAAAGAAACGTTGTTTTGGTACATCAGAGTAAAGGTCCAAAAA